CACGCGACCACCATAATAAAACCCGAGACCTGAGGGGGTTTAAATCTGCCTTTTAAGGCTCTCCGGAGAGCCGTCTCGCTGGGCGCCTTTGCTGATTGTCGGAAGGGCAAAGCAGATTACAGATTACCAGAGTTGGAAAGGGGACCTTGTTAGGTCATCTAGTCCAACCCCACCCCCCCCACACACACCACAGCGCAGCTGGTCTGGGATGTCGACCCCACCCACGCCTGCCCAACAGGGAAGCAGGCTGTGCTATTTGCTTTTACATTCTGTTTTTACATTCTGCTCACGCTGTATTGTGAAACAAAACGAATGTATACTTTTTAAAGAAGTAACTCATATATATTTGGGGGGGGGAGGGGGTCCAGCCCGACAAAAGGACTCCCTTCATTGGTTGGCCATTGTAAGGAAGTTAGCGCCCACCCCTCTCCTAGACAAATGAAATATCCTGGGAAGTACTAAAACGGCAGAATATTTTCCCCTAAACAGAGTAAAGTAGAAACAAGAGAGGCAGAACCTCAGCTCCCCCACCTTTGTTTATGGGTGGGCCCATTAAGGTCTGGGCCACAATACTTTACATAACAAAGATCTCCTGGGAAAGGTAGAGCAATTGCCCAAGAGCCCTTTCAGTGCATGATCATCCAGCAAGGCCCAACCAAGCCTGGAACTCAAGAAAGCCTACAAAGTTAGCTAAGACCCCCATCCCTGGGAGTCTGACAGCCAATGGGATACATTTCTTGCACGGGAACAGGAAACACTAAAGTGGGATCCAACAGAGGGTATATATCAGGGTCTCTCAGCATTTTGGCTGGCCCTCCTTGATCTTTTCCTTCACTTCGAAGCATGTGATCATCCTTTTCACTTTGGTGCTTCAAGCCTTGTGGTCCTGCTGTCCACCATTAAACCATCTTTCCTAACAGCCTTCATGTTTCCAGTGTCTTTTTTCCCCACTTGGAACTGAACCCAGAAGGATAATTCTTTCAACACAATAAAGCTCCCAAGATCTTTGTCTTGTGGGATGTAAACCGGACCGAAAAAAAGGTTAAAAAAAAATACTTGCCCTTATCAACATTCAGGCGTGGCATCCAGTTCTTGTGCAACCTTAACTCCCAGGTTTTGGTTGTGACCCTACAATCAGTAAGGTGCTTTGCAGTCTGAAAAATTACCTTGATCGGCGCATGATGATAATGCTTCCAAAAACACCATCAGTTCTTAAGGTTTCTGACTGAATGCCGCAATTCATAAAAATGAAACTGATTCTGGATGGGCAGTGCTGGACCATAGGTTTGCATCCTGGAAAACTGCAACGAACGGTGATGGTTCAGATGGCCTGCACTGAGAGAGAATCCCTGAGATGTCCCGTGTTTCAGAAGGGCACCCCAAAATCTACAGTAGGGCAGCAAAACCAGCACAATACATTTTGGAAGAGAACATTTTGGGGATGGAATTGTAGGAGAATATGAAATGAGTGGAGTGGTGGCCTAGTGGTGAAGACATTTGAATGATTGAGAGTTCAATCCTCTCTCCTAGGGTGCAAAGAAAAAAAATACCAGGAAGTGCCTGTAAATGCTCAAGTGATTGTAAAACAGATGGGGTTTTTTTTAGTTGTAAGGGAGTATGTAGGAGATGGGAGAATGACATTCTCTAATTCCAAATACTCAGTATAATACTCATTTCTCTGGATTTCATTTTTTGTATCATATTTTTGCTTCTATTTAAGTAATAATGGCATCATTAATAAGGTATAGACAGTGATTTGCACTACAAGCCTGTAAAAATGAGAATAAAACAGAGGCTATAACAAAAAAAGCATCCGGTAACAAGATTACTGTACTGTGCGCGCACACACACACACACACACACACACACACACACACACAAATACATACATAGACATAATTTTTTTCCTGTCAACATTTCTCTTATAGAAAATCTGTGTTCTATTTATGGTAAAGTATGAAGGACGAAAGATTACAATTTCCATTACAAGAATCTGAATTTCTGAAAACATTTAAATGCTTCTCTTAATATCTTTGGAGGAAGGCATATTGAAGTATAAGTGGAGATTTTTAAAAAAAATGCAAACACAAGAGCTTGTGTGTCATGTCATGTCATGTCATGTCATTCCATGTGCTTTCCAGTTATTTAAACTATATGCCTTCTGGTGGGGAATGAGGAAACAGAATATAAATCCAGGTCTGCCAATAACTACTGAACAGTTAGTCTGCTGTACACAATTCTTTGTTTTGAAAAGGTTTTGAAAACAAAGCCCAGAGCAAAAGAATTTTGCACATAAATAAGGAGCTTTATCCAGCTATGACAGGCTGAGTTCATCAATGCATGTTCTGTAATTACAGCAGGATGTTACAGTACAATTATTTCTGTGCCCTAAAGATGTTTTCAAGTTGGTGAAAATAATGATCAATCACAGGGTGAGCAATTTGGAGCAACTTTACGACTTCAACTCCCAACATGGCTGGTTCAGATTTCTGGAAGCGGGGGTTCACAGGTCATAAAGTTGCTATCGGTGCCCACTCCCAACCAGCTCCATCTATGAGAATAAAACAGGATGTCACCTCTCTTTTTTATTGAAAGATAAATCAACCAAATCAATACCTAATTATTATTTTTTTAAATTGTGAGTTAAAGACACACATGGTTAAAATGGACCATTTATGCTATTACACTGTTGATGTTTAAAATGGAACAAAGATTCTTAAGGAAAACCCACCCATCTGGAATTGGATGGTATATATATATATTACTGAACTCTAATTTTATGCTTCCCCCCCCCCGTATTTTGATTTTAAATAGCAATTCTATTGGTTGGTAACATATAACAAAAACACCAAAAGGCTAAGGATTGATATTATATGGTGATTTATATTGAATTTGGAAATGCCACAAAAGAAAATAATTAAAACTCAGTACAATTTTACAGTTCAATTAAAGCTATTATTGAGGAATTAGTTATAGATATTAATTCTCAATCTATTTATCTCCACTTCAATGCTGATTAACTCTGAAAACTACGAATTGTTCTCCTATCCCAATCTCTTACATCTGATTTTTACATTATCTAATTGTACCCTTTGCTATGTAACTGGAATCCAGAAAGAATATTAGTTATTATTTGCCAATATTAGGTATTATTTGTCAATATTATTTGCCATGTTGCTATCCTGATACAGTACTTTTCTCTTTATCACATATTTTTATCCATTATGCTTTTTTTCCCCTAATGCTCCAAGTGCAATGTGGAAATCAGCCACATAGAAGTGCTAACTGGAATGTTTCAGCAAAGTATAAAAAATTGATTTTGAAACATACTTTCAAAATTGAACTCTTGGAAGTTTGGTATGCCACACAAGAAAGTTTCAGTGAACTAAATATGGCAGAAAGGTAGCTTGATTAAGAAAGCATATCTTGTGAGTAAATAAGTCATGATGGGTCAAAGGAACACTAAGAAAGTAAAATGCAAACTATTTGCATAGTTCAGGTTTCGAATATACTATACTAGCTCTATACCCGTGCTTCGCTACAAAACTATGTGATCAGGCAAGATTTTGGGGAGGAAAATAAGGGTGGGAAATTGTGCCTCTACCTACCAGCATCCATAGTTATTCATCTGGCTGGCATCCTGTCAGTGTGTGAGAGAGTTGAGGGCTGTTTGGAAACTGAAACAGTATTTGCCGTGTGAGCAAGGAGGAGACAGCAAGGAGCCTGGGCGTGGTTTATCTCAACTATTCTGTACTAAAGCTGGTTGCTGCTATGAAACTGAAACTCCTCTCCTCTGCTTGTGTTTTGCATTTGGAACAGATTTCTTTTCAGGTGGGGAGGGGGAATAGAACTCCTTAGCATCAAAGCGTGTTAATAATATACTAATGCTCTGACGGTCATTTTGAAAAATCCTTTCTTGGTGAGCATCTAGAAGCCAAGAGGAACATACGTGCCAAATTTCATGTTTGTAGGCTTTACGGTGGTAGAGATTTTGTGATGATGCGTGAGTGGTAATTCACTTTTACCGTGTTTCTCCAACAATATGGCCTCCACCAATAGGAAAGCCCAGCACGATTTCTAGGCATCAGGTGAAAATAAGCCCCCCGCCCCAAATTTAGGCCTATTTAAACCAGGCTTTTCCCCGCCATTTCTCACATCGTTCGTTACAACTACACGAGGTGAAGAGAAATGGGCGAGGGAAGGGCGCGGGGAATGGGGAGAAAACTTGCCTTTAGGAGGGACCTGCAGGTAGCCTAGGCTAGATACCCCGATAGCCGATAGAAGCTCCCTGAAGGCAGAGTCCCCAGCCGCTTCAGGGTGTGGCGTGGTGACCTGTATCCCCTCGCCTTTAGGCAGTCTTTTTCGGACGATCGAAGCTCCCCAAATGCAGTCACCAGCCACTTCGATCAGCCGGTAGAAGTGGCCTCGGGGCAAGCGCGCACACACACTCCCCTCGTCGTTCATAAGTTCCTTTTCATAAGTTCCTTTTCCCAGTGCTGTTGTAATTTTGAACAGTCTCTAAACGAACTGTTGTAAATCAAGGACCGCCTGTGTAATATAAAACAGTCTTCTTAAATTGCCGAGTCTCCTAATATTCTGCAATAAAATTTTTAGTCTGTACCCGTGATGGCGAACCTATGGCACACATACTAGAGGTGGCACACAGAGCCCTCTCTCTAGGCACGCAAGCCGTCGGCCCAACTCGGCTCCGCCACACATCTGCACGTGTACCTCCTGCCAGCAAGTTGATTTTCAGGTCTCTGCCACACATGCACGGGGTGGGTGGGACGTGCACGGGGGCGGGATGCACCTGCGGAGGGTCATGTGCGCAAGTGTGTTGTGTGCGGGAGGGTCATATGTGCATGCGCAGGGCACACACACACTGCATTTTGGGGATGCATGCGCATGCGCTTTGGGCACTTGGTGCTGAAAAGGTTAGCCATCACTGGTCTACATCATGTTTCTCACATTTGGCATCTTTAAGAAGTGTGCACTTCAACATCCAGATTTCTCCAGCTTAACATTGCATGAAACTGCTAGGTGAGGTCATCTAATAGCATGAAAGGAGATAGCCTCAGTATGCTGGTGATATTCAGTTTTTCAACTGTCCTGAACTGACCAAGACATGTTAAGTCTGGGGTATATCTACCCCTTATTGTCTGGAGTACGTCAGGGTTTGGAATGGGAGAAACAGATTTCATCATAGCCTTAGCAAGACAGAGCAGGTCTGGTTTTTAGGGACCATCCACCTTTTCTTCTGGATGGGATGACTATCTCAAATGGAACCTGGGTGGAATTTGGGAGTCCTTCTGTTTGAGGAATAGGTGACATCCATGGCTAGGAAGACTTTTGTATAACTTTGTGTTGTGCCTCAGTTGTATCCTTTCTTTGTCATATCCTGAGCGGATTGTTGCAGTGCTGCACTGCACTCCATTTCCTATTTGAGGACTCAACTGGTAATGTATCAATCCTTTTTTTCATACTGTCATGGACTTATTCCGTGAGATATGCATTTATTTTTTGCTTGGCCAATATGCAAACCAGCATGGTGCTTTATAAATCATGAAGTATGGCTTTGACATATTTGAACTTTTGATTTGTTAAATAAAATAGGATTAAAATAAAACCACAATGAAGTATTTGAATCCCTAGTATGAATTTTGTGTTTCTGTGTTTTAATCTCATACACATTATATTGGCTTTTTCAATGGATTATGGCAAACTGAACAAATTATGCTGATGATTATGTCTCTTTGTCATAGGAAGTATTTCATAAGTAACAAAATTGTGATTAGATATTTGAAAATAATTTCCCTATCTTTATTTTTTTAAGTTTTATATGAGAACAATACATTGTTGTTGCAGAATTATACTATTAATAATCTTTAGATTTAATACTCAAAGACTCTGGTCTTTGAATAAATATCTATATCAAAGCTAAGGTGAACCATTAAATAACAATTGTCAAAGGTATTTTTGAACAGTTGCTTGTTGCTTGTTGCTTTTAGATATGCTAAAATTGGTCAAATTTATTTTATTTTTAATGATATTCTAATGTTTTCAGTGGCATATTATAAGGTGGGGGTAGACAAAGTAGTGATGCCAGAGGCCGAATAACTCTGGATAACTTCTGAGCAATGGACAAAAATCTGTGAAGGACTATACAACCTGGCTGAAGAT